TCAACTGACTCCTTTAACATAATTAGTTATTGGAGTACGCAACCCTCGTTTAAACATAATATTGGCTGGGGTTAATCCAGTGGTATCATGTCTAGCTGTGTTAATTGCAAACGCAAATTCCGCAATGTGAACATTCCAGTTTTTATGATCATCATTCACAAATGCCCCTATCATACATTTAAGTACTTTATTTTGTTGTTCGATCCAATTTGTTTGTGGGTGATAGGGTGTCGTGAACACTTGTTTAACCCCCCAGTTGTTGCAAACTGCGGCCACATCTTTCCCTGTAAACTGGCTACCATTATCGATAGCAGTTTTCTAGGAGCCCCAAATTTACAGAAAATTTGACGTACAAAATCCGAAGCAACTTTATTGCCTGTTGCACGTTTAATGGGAAACACTTCCGTCCACTTACTGTAATTATCGACCAAAACCAACAAATGGCACTGTCTCCGTAACTTTTGGGTAGTGGTCCCATTAGGTCAACCACAACAACTAGATTGAAAAATAGATTTTTAAAAAGAATTTTGAACACTTTAAAATATATACTCATGCGTACGCGCACGTCATGACACACGTGCGCAGGTTAATGTCACAGAATATTGTCTCCTGATATGAGATATATATGTATCAACTTTCATTGACAAACGCCTGCTGGTGAGAGAGAATTTATCATTCATAATATTTATCATATTTAAATTTTTTTTTATCAATTATAGCTCCTTAAGATGAAAGGTGACCCCCAATTTTTATTACATATTCTGAAAGCACATGAATTGTAAATATGATTCTATAGATTATAATGGCTGATCGGACATTGTGACGTCATCATTTTGCCATCTGAATGAAACAAACTGAATTTTATCGATGACGTCATTTTTGAAAATGCGCATTTGAGCGTATCTCGCTCATCCTTGGTCGATTGTCTTCCAACTTTGAGTATGTTATAGCAGAGACAATTTTCTTTCAAATATATGACTTATTTTTACTTTTGATGACGTCATTATGGTCAAAAAAATGTTTTTTTTCTGACCCCCTCATCTTTCTTTCCTCAAAAAGTTAATGAGCCAATATCATCTTAACCAATCGTCATTTCTAATTCATATTAGGTGAGCATAAACTTCAGGTCACGGTTGAATGTTATGTACCTTCATTTTTCGTTCGCACTTTTTAGCGTGCACGTACGCGTGCGTCAACATTTATATATGCATAAAACCACGAATATTTTTAATCAGTTATAGCTCCTATAGTAGGATGAAAGGTGACCCCCAATTTTTATTACATATTCTGAGAGCACATGAGTTGTAGATACGATTTTAAAGATCATAATGGCTAATCGGACATTGTGACGTCATCATATTGATTTAAATTAAGAAAAACTCAATTTTTATTTATGATTTATACTCGTTTGAACGTATCCCCTTATCTTGATTGATTGTCTCCCACCAGTGAGTATATTATAGCTAAATCAATTCTCTTTCAGACGTGTCCCTTTATTTTTCATTTTCATTACGTCAGCATGATCAAAAAGAATTAATTTTTGGAGCCCTTTTATCTCTCATTCTTAAAAGATGTACAGAAATGCAACAGAGAGAAGGCGGCAAGAGGGCGGCAGACTGTATTTTGACGCTATCAGACTGATATAGGTCATATGAAGGGAAAATTCGTGTGGCATTACCAACAGGCGGTTTTAAAAACACTTGACAATGTTTAATTTCGTGTGCCGTTACCGTACACGGACACATTGCGACGTGCGCGTGTGTTAAAATTTGAAAATTCTCAATATCATATTCAGATCGTTTAAAGAACGTTTCAGGTCATTTTTAGAATTCCAAAACTTTCCATAATTTATGCGCCGTACGTTCATTTCCACGCGCACAGACCGTACTAAGGCTAGTAACTAGATTTGAACTCGTCACTGAGGACGAGTTAGGTGATCCGCCGCACTTTGACCCACGAGGAAGTGTGTGCGTGGCGGATTGAACAATAATTAAATGCTGATAATGGCAAAATACGCTAATTTAGTTTGTTTACTCATGCGTACGCGCACGTCACGACGCACGTGCTCATCTTAATGTCACTGTTGTCTCCTGACATGAGATATATGTATCAACTTTCATTGACAAACGCCTGTTGGTGAAGGAGTAATGATCATTCTTTTAACGCTAGTTTGTGTTACCTAATGAAACTTTCAATCTAATTAAAGAGAGCCACGGATTTGCCAATAAAAGGCCCTAAACATTTTTGCTATAGCATACTAACCAACCTGAGAGATTTGAAATGCGTGAGTAACTACCATTTGGCTGGGGAGGGTGTCGAGGTCCATAGGCAGAGCCCCGCTGGGGTCGATTGGGCGTGGCCCCAGGTGCTCTGACGATCTGAGCATTAATTCAATTCAATTCAATTCAATTCAATTCAACTTTTATTGTCAAACACAGTGAGAACATGGTTTGAAATTCTTCTTGTTTGTTCACAGTTAAAATGTAAGTTAAAACAAGACACAAAAGATAAAATCACAGAGGAAAGAGCAAAACTGTAAAAACAATAAAAGTCTGCTAAAAGGTTAAAAAGGCTAAAAAGGCTAAAAACATTAAAAATGAGTTAAAATTGGTTAAACATTCTGTGAAAAATCAGCTTTGGCAAAGGCAAGCAGATTGGGGAATACAGCATAGGCCTATCTTTTCCACATTTTATTAAATTGTCTCATAGCGCTTGGGAGAAATGATTTACAAATTCTATTTGTC